CCTGTGAAATTAACTAAGGTGCTTCTTGGAGTCAGCAGTGCGACTCGAGATGTTGTCGACATTTGGGACAAGCGGTATATATACGCCTCAATTTACACTAGATCCACCATCTCTCTAGTGGCTTCGACGGGGACGAGAAGTCGGCGGCTTGTCAAAGGTTCCCCCATTGTTCCGGAGGATTTTTTCCAACTGGATTTTGAACTGAAGTAATGAAACCAGTTGGTAAACTTGCTCCAGAGTGGTGTACCGTACTTCTAGAGGTATACACATTGCCAGTTTACTTTAGTCCCGCATTGTGTTCACGACTAACAACAGTAAGAGACTGTTTGATCAGGTTCAAGAGTCAAGGTGTAAGTCTGGCAGAAAACGACAAGGAGGTATGTGAGGAACTCGACAAAAGATTTCCGGATGTCTTAAGAAAAGAGCCAGAGTGTAGACCTTGGTTGAGAGAGGAACGGCCAGAGGTAATACTGGTTGATATATTAGTCACCACAGAGGAGGTTAAAAGACACCTCAAGGAATTAGATGCAACAAAATCAAGATGACCTGACCTAATATCACCATGGGTGTTGAAGGAGGCAGCGCGGGTACCTTGTCACCCGCTAACTTAAGTTTTCAATCAAATAAGAGACTGGAAACTTCACAGAATTCTGGAAAAAGGAACACGAATAGTCCCAATGCTCCAAACAATAGGACAGACATGAGGTTATCTTGAGATGATTTCGGGGCTTTAGTGTCCCCGTGGCCCGGTCCTCGACCAGGCCTCCACCCCCTAGGAAGCAGCCCGTGACAGCTGACTAACACCCAGGTACCTATTTTACTGCTAGGTAACAGGGGCATGGGGTGAAAGAAACTCTGCCCATTGTTTCTCGCCGGCGCCCGGGATCGAACCCGGGACCACAGGATCACAAGTCCAGTGTGCTGTCCGCTCGGCCGACCGAGAATCACTGGAGTGCAGACATTTTGTAAAACACCAAAAACATGGGTTCAGGGATAGTAAATCGTGCCTCGCAGATTTAATACAATTATATGACTAGGTAAAAAAAAAGTAGACAAGGAAAAAAGGATGGACAGACGACTGCATATTCTTGGTCTGTGAGAAGGCCTTTGACTCAGCATCCCATAAGAGGCTGTGGCATAATTAGGAGAAGCAGGCAGGAGTGACAGGGAAGGTGCTCCAGTAGATAAGAGCGTAAGCAAGCAATAGACAGCGAGTTAATATAAGGAGTGAAGTCTCAGAATGACGAAATGCGCACCAGCGAAGTCCCACGTGGTTGTGTACTTGGACGTATCCTGTGCCTCTCAGTGTTTACTGATGATGCAAACATTAAGAGATGGATTAAGGCAGAGGAAGATAGCGAGAGATTACATGCAAGAGTTTAACTCAAGTAAGTTTAAAGTAATGAAAATAGAGGTAGGGGAGCAGGAGACCGGACACAAGAAACCAATTGGGAGATGAAATCTTTGAAGAATCAAGTAAAGATCTGAGGGTTGACATCACCAAACTTTGTCTGCTTGAGCCAACGTTAAACAAGCATATAACACCCATCCACCTCTCACCCCCCCCCCCCCCAGCACCACACAGCACTCACATATAATGTCAAGTTGTCATGTGTGATGAAAGCTCACGACTTTGGGCAAGAGTGAGGAGGGAGGCTTGGACGAGGCCAAGTTTACACCTGACATTTCCCCCTTGCAAAATGTCAACAGTGCCACAGTCGTCTCCACCTGCCGTAAACCCTATGTTAAGTTGTCACATTCCTAGAGCCAGCTTGGGCTGGTCTTCTTGAGCCGTGTAGAGTCAAGAGGAACTACTGACTATACGGTACAGCTCGACCCTCGTCTTACTGGTGTGGTCAGTGCAAAGGTAGGAAGCGGATGCTGGTGTAAAAACCATCTTCTATATGCAGGCGAGGACTCACAATAATGTGGCTGAAATATGGCACAATCGACTTGAGAATGGTCCCAGTACGGACCGAAACGTCGTCGTCCCTTCACTTTCTAGTGTGTGGTCTGGTCAACAACATCTTCTATACTCTCATTTTCAAGTTATGAGTTAAATAACTTTGATAATGGGTTCTCACTTGTAGAACATTTATATATCTTGTTCATTCAGGTAGTTTACTTCTTGTTTGGTGTATCAGAGTCAGTACAGACGAAATAAATGATATGATTAGTGAAAAAGCCCCTGATGTGATAACTGTACTTGACACCAAAATCATCTTCTAAGACATTTTGAATGCAATATTCCCAGGGGTCTGCCAGGCAATAAGGACTGAAAGTAATGACAAGGAGGGAGAGAACACTATGTCAAAAGGGACAATCCTTGGAGGAGCTTGAAGGAGAGAGTAAAGATGCAAGTATTATGTCACTGAGACAACAGTCAAGATGAAGGGTGTTGTTTGTGGTTACTGACAACACCACCAATATACACCACCATACACCACCAATATCAAACACCACTAAACATTATACACATATACTACTGAAAACACCAGTAACACCACATACAGGAAACGCCATCTATGGTTGTATTGGAAAGGACCCTAAGTCTCGTAGAAGAGAATATAACACATTCACTCGTAGATTTTCATCTATTATCCACTTCGATTTTTAATTTTATTTAGAGCTATGCCGTAAAAAAAAAAAAAAAAAATATATATATATATATATATATATATATATATATATATATATATATATATATATCTTTATATAAATTTTTATTTATATATTACTTTATATCTTTATATAAAGATATAAAGTAAACTATTATCTGGTGTAGACCAACTGCAGTTTCTTATATACCCGCCATAGACTCAGAATGTGGCGTGCCTTTCTGAACAATATTTTGAAAAACAATATTTTTGTGAACAATATTTTGTGCCTGTTCAGGATGCCTAGGGTCACATCTCCTGGAGTGAGGGAGGCTGCCACGATGCTGCCGTCCTCATGCTCCTCATGTTTACCTCCTCATGTCTCATAATACGTCTTAATGAGTCATTTATGGTAGCTATTTGACTTCAAGCCATTGCATATTGCATGAATATAGCTCATGTGTGTGTTTGGGGACTCGACCCACTGTCGTTTCTGCCATCCCAGAATGTAGACACCCTACCAGCCACACCCCAACCCCCTGCCCATACCCCTGCCACCCTCGGGGCTGTCCCTGTCACCAGGCACGCCGCTCCTTCCTCCAGACACTGATCATTACCAGAGAAGCCCCCTGGCAACGCCGCCACAATGGTGGTATCGTCCGATAGTTAATGAGGGGACCGGAAAATGCCAGGAAGAAACCCCAGCATCCATTGTGCCCCGTCGCCATGACAACCTCCCTCACGTTATTGATGGCTCGCGTACACAGGTGAAGGGTCACTGGTTAGGCCAGCCTCAGTCATCACCTACACCAGCCTCAGTCATCACCTACACCAGCCTCAGTCATCACCTACACCAGCCTCAGTCATCACCTACACCAGCCTCAGTCATCACCTACACCAGCCTCAGTCATCACCTACACCAGCCTCAGTCATCACCTACACCAGCCTCAGTCATCACCTACACCAGCCTCAGTCATCACCTACACCAGCCTCAGTCATCACCTACACCAGCCTCAGTCATCACCTACACCAGCCTCAGTCATCACCTACACCAGCCTCAGTCATCACCTACACCAGCCTCAGTCATCACCTACACCAGCCTCAGTCATCACCTACACCAGCCTCAGTCATCACCTACACCAGCCTCAGTCATCACCTACACCAGCCTCAGTCATCATCTACACCTGCCTCAGTCATCACCTACACCAGCCTCAGTCATCACCTACACCAGCCTCAGTCATCACCTACACCAGCCTCAGTCATCACCTACACCAGCCTCAGTCATCACCTACACCAGCCTCAGTCATCACCTACACCAGCCTCAGTCATCACCTACACCAGCCTCAGTCATCACCTACACCAGCCTCAGTCATCACCTACACCAGCCTCAGTCATCACCTACACCAGCCTCAGTCATCACCTACACCAGCCTCAGTCATCACCTACACCAGCCTCAGTCATCACCTACACCAGCCTCAGTCATCACCTACACCAGCCTCAGTCATCATCTACACCTGCCTCAGTCATCACCTACACCAGCCTCAGTCATCACCTACACCAGCCTCAGTCATCACCACTCACCAGCCTCAGTCATCATCTACACCAGCCTCAGTCATCACCACACACCAGCCTCAGTCATCACCTACACCAGCCTCAGTCATCACCACTCACCAGCCTCAGTCATCATCTACACCAGCCTCAGTCATCACCACTCACCAGCCTCAGTCATCACCTACACCAGCCTCAGTCATCACCACTCACCAGCCTCAGTCATCATCTACACCAGCCTCAGTCATCACCACTCACCAGCCTCAGTCATCACCTACACCAGCCTCAGTCATCACCACTCATCAGCCACCCACAACACGCAAGATACAGAGAGGAATACATAAGGTAAACAAGGAGAGCCTTTTTAAAGTGAGAGAAAGTAGGATGAGATGACACAGGTGGAAGCTGGAAACACAAATGAGTCTAAGAAATATAAAGAAACGTGCCCTGTATCAAGTCAACACACACGTGGAAGGGACCAAATGAAGAAGTTGTAGTAGCCACCTCCATCCACAACTTTAAGGCAGGAGTCGACAAAGAATTCGAACGTCAGAAGAGTTCAATTATAATCAACCCGTCCTCGGACTAAGTCCATTCCATCCAGCGGTCGACCTGGACATTTTTATGATGTATTAGAACGTTGTAACAACTTGCTATATTGGTTGTTACAACTTGTTAGGTGGTGTTAAAACTTGTTCCAACGTTGTAGCGACGTCGTAGTTTGGTCGTGTGTTTATTCCGTCCTTTCCCACCATCTGAACCCAACACCCTTCCCTTCCCCATCACCCTTCATACACCCTGCAACACAACATTCCACAAGTGTTGCGACAAGTTGCACGACAGTTAAGGTCTTACCGTTGTGACAAGTGTTGTGGGGTCGGCCCCCTCGACGTCTCAGTGTTGCAATGGCTTGGCGCTTTCTCCTGATAGTTCCCTTCAGTGTTGCTGAGTGTTACCTCAACGCCGCCATCAACGCTGCCAAGTAAGGCTGCATCTTCACCCAGCACACACCTACATGCTGGCACAAAGTGTACCTGTGGCATTAATCACACAGGTGCCAAGTGTTCCATGGGCCCTATGGATCTGGTAGAGGAGGAATCATTCAAGGCCTTGTCAACTCGGCACTCAAGTCCGCTCCTATGTACCAATCCTGAATACCAATCAACACTGGTAAACACTCTGTGAACACCCACTCTCACTCCTCCTCCTCCTGGAACTCCTCTCACAAAGTTGTATGTTACTCCCACCTCCAGTAAGAGGGAGGTGCCTCTCTTCAGACATACTTTAATACTCAAGTCATCGTCTGGCCTCTACCCGACACGTACTTTATCTGATATAATCCACACTAGACCCAGTAAGTTTCCTCGGTCGCGCGCACAACATGGTGAACAAAGAGACAATTCAGTGACATCAGCACTTGATCAGCTCCGTAGCGCAACTGAGGTCTTCTGGCCACTGGGGCTGCCCGGGTATTTCTTGTGATGTGTTCCCATTGGCTGAGGCTCAAAGATGGTGTGCCATGGTTGGTCAAGTCTTCCAGAGCGCTCTGATTGGTCAGGGGAAATTTGATTCGACCCATCAAGAATATCTAATATGGCCGTCCACCTCCTCCGAACTCAATACACACAATTAACCTAAGTACAGTTATTAAACACCTACAAATGTACATAATATGTGCAGACAACAATTATCCCCCAGAGAAAACTAGGCAACTTGAAAATGGCAGCACATGGAAGTATAAAATACAGTTTTATACGTGTGTAGCTTCATACTATTGAAGCCCCTTACATTTTAATGGGTCGAGTAGCAAGGTGGTCTACGTTCTCCTCTCAAAATCGAGAATCCTGTATTCGAGCACCAGGCGGGAAAGAAATGGTTGGGCACGTTTTCTTTCATCTTATGCCCCTGTTCACCGAACAGTTAACATGTCCGCGAGAGCTAGTCAACTGTTTGGAGTTGCATTAATTGCAATTGCTGGGAAGTTTGACCCTGGAGGAGTTCAGTACAACCCGCCTGGGTGTCGGGGGTCATGTCCACTACATCCAAGATTATACGCAAAAGTGACAGTAATTTCCTCAACTTTCCCAGATACTAGGACTGGACGGTAGAGCGACGGTCTCATATCTTGCAGGTCGGCGTTCAATCCCCAACCATCCAAGTGGTTGGGCACCATTCCTTCCCCTCGTCCCATCGAATTAGCCAGTGCTATATAGTGGTAATGGCTTAGTGCTTTCTGCTAATAATTAGCTCTCCTCGTGAACTTTACCAGTGGGCAAGTGTACGTCAGTGTGCAACACTTGGCCGTGTGTCAGCAGGTTCACAACTTTTCCTAGAGTGTGGATGTCAGCTGTTTCCAAATATTTGCCAGAGACATTGCTGTTGTATAATGAAGGCATCAGGCAAGCTGCCAACACAGTCTGCTTGACAGGCGGTGTATAGACAGTGGTTAACACCACTTATGTGTGTACACACTGACTTGACTTTAGTCCAGGACTATGTTCACTACTAAAGTATAATTACTGGCCTTAATAACCCCCTCCAGAGGTTGATGGACTTTAAGCCCATCACCGTCCAAAATGAGGTCTTATACTCACATCTGTGAATACTCACACCTGTCACAGTCGCACTTGTCAATGGGCCGGATTCTCCACACTTCTGGGACCGTCACTAATTTTGGAATGTGGAATCGAAGTTCAGAACTAAGTCACGTGGCTAATCCATAACATCTTGAGGTTATCTTGAGATGATTTCGGGGCTTTAGTGTCCCCGCGGCCCGGTCCTCGACCAGGCCTCCACCCCCAGGAAGCAGCCCGTGACAGCTGATTAACACCCAGGTACCTATTTTACTGCTAGGTAACAGGGGCATAGGGTGAAAGAAACTCTGCCCATTGGTTCTCGCCAGCGCCCGTGATCGAACCCGGGACCACAGGATCACAAGTCCAGTGTGCTGTCCGCTCGGCCGACCGGCTCAAACATGCCCAGCTGGTCACACGAGCCACGGCTTTCAGTCTGTGAAACTACTGGTTGTCCTTCCGGTATGTTCATGACCGCGTGTTGAACACCAGAGGAGTGCATTACAGGCACACATGCACAAGTCTCGCCTACAATTGCCTGTTAAAGAGGAAGCAGCGTTGCTCACTTCTGCAGTATGGGGGGCGGGGAACACGTCAACTCTCGTTGCAGTCAAGTCATCTTAATCCGCTCATGTGTTCACATATTGAGAGGAGAACAGAGAGCACAGTCATGCCACCCTCCACTCTCACGGCTAAATAATACGTTCTTGCCTATTAAGACTCCTTCCAAGTAGCCAAATGAAGCCGACGCCGGTTGATACGGTGAACCGTGCATACCCGACGGTCTAGTGTCGCTACAGTGTACATGTCGTACACAGTAGTTAGCTCTCCAAGTGACACGATATTACCTCAGGGTTACTGTGGCCAGACTCAGCCGCCCTTAATGCTATCTTCCCTCAGCCACCACCTCTCAGTGTTGTCACTGCTGCCACCACTGGCGTGAATATAGGATATCTATCTGGCCAGGATATCTACCTGGGCAGAAGCAACACAGTGTCTCAGGTGTGATGAAGAACATCTCCACTCACCTGGTGCTGCTGATGTGGTGTTGACGAGGCCAGGCACCTTCTCTTCCGCCAACACAACTCTCTTCAACCACGTGTTCCTCACAGCGATGTTCGTCATTTATATCATTCCTCCAAAGATCCCTCCATTCATACCACTGCCCCCAGATTACAGTTTAGTTAGGTACGTTAAGCAGAGGACGGTAGAGAGGTGTCCAGTGGTGACCACGTTTGAGCACACACCACACTGGTAATAGCCAGATGTCTCCCATACAGTTCTGTATTCACCTACACCGCTGGGGTCTGAGTCCATGTCCCCATCACTCAGCGAGCTTCCAAGGTGCACTAGAGCGCTGTGTCTGGCTGTGTGTTAACTCCCTGGCAGATCACAGCAAACCTGTATGCTATGCTTCATATTGAGACACATACAGACAGTGTGGGCTGAGGTATCTTGCCGCCTATACTCTCAAATCTGGCCAGTTATCGGGAGGCTGTCTGATAGCGGTGATAAGATTAGTATGAAAGTGTTGACTGAAGCCCTCGCAGCCGCTGCTCACCTGCGTACCACGAGTACACAAAGAAAAACTTGCCATTGGAATAAATCTTTATAACTTCATCAATATAAAACAGTTTGCTTATTATATTTTAGTTAATAATTAGAGCATTACAGGCCGATATTGTCTTGATGTATAATAACAGCGCATTACTGTGCAACAAAATAAATTAGATGGTAATCATGATAAAGTTATTCCATTATTTTTAATTTCCAGCTATAAATACAATTTGTGTCAGTCGGTAGAATTGCCTGGAGATGTGGTTCATGTGAGACCTGTGAGTGTAGAGGAGCATCAGGATGCACCAGAGTCCTAACACAGGAGACTCTGGGAGTCCAGACCTTTGGAATAGTCTCCATAAACTGCGACAACCAATACTTTCCACCACTCGACTTCACACACACAGGAACTTCATACTTACGAATAATTCTTGAGCAGTCCAGTTTCCAAGGGTCTCAGGACACGGGTGTACACGTGTCTGTGTTTCCCAGCGAATTGAAGCAGTAACGTAGAGCAGCGTCTCTTGGGCTTATCACCCATGCACCCTTGGGAGCTGTGAGCACAGAACCTGTCACACCAAGCAGGTGACGTCCACCCGACGGTGACGTCCACCCGACGGTGACGTCCACCCGACGGTGACGTCCACCCGACGGTGACGTCCACCCGACGGTGACGTCCACCCGACGGTGACGTCCACCCGACGGTGACGTCCACCCGACGGTGACGTCCACCCGACGGTGACGTCCACCCGACGGTGGCGTCCACCAGCAGGTCTCTAGACCTCCTGCCCACCTCTAGGCACACGAGAAGTGTGATAAACAACGGAAAGAGGAACAGAAGAAATGCGAGGAGAGAGAGAGGAGAACTAGCCAAAGAAAGGAGGAGGACATACAACATCTGGATGGTAGGAGAGGGAAGGGTATGAGAGGAGGATTGAAGGAGGGAAAGAAAAAGAGGCATTAAGTACTCTAAGAATGTTAGATAATCCATCTTAAGAGGAAGTTAATTCTACTGAGTTAATTCTACACCTACTCTCTACTAGAGTGTAGTAGAGAGTGGGTGTACCACACCAGCCTGTGGGTCCCGTCGTCCAGGACCGCTGTGGCCACCACCTCGCAAGTCATAGTTATGTCACGTCTAGATTATGCAGTTCAGTTTTGGTCACCGTACTATAGAATGGATACAAGTGCCATTAAAAACATGCAGACAAGACTTGAAAAGTTAATCCTGGAATATTAAGAACCGCCCCCATTATAAATGTATATAAATTAAAGCTTAATTTACATTCTCTAGAACTGAGACAAGTGAGGGGAAGATATTGGTGAAGTATACGAAAGCAAGAAAGGGTGACATAAGAACACACCGTAGTAATAAAGTACTCTACAGCAGGTCTATTGGCCCATACAAGACAGATCTTATTTATTTCCACCCAAACTCATTCATATATACAGTATCTCTAACCTAGACGTGAAGTACTCCAGCTGGGAACACTTCCAAGGGAAGAATGATACGTGTGACCTGGATGGCCTCCAGTGAGCTAGACCTGCGAGTTCTGCCTTTGTCATTTCGTTGCAATCTGTGGTTGGAGAAGTTTGCTTTAGTTTAAACTGTTACAAGACAGTTGTATGGGAATGGATTTGGAGAAAGAAGACAATAAAAGCATGTGATGGCAGGGGAAACGTTTGGACAAAGGGAACAGGAATGGAAATGGACCTCAACATAACAGTACTCTTAAAGTTTACTACACAAGTAGCAAGAATCTTAGCAACATAATTGGCGATTTAGACCTGTAGTACACTGGCACTGAGTTCATAATAGCCACTGGTGTGTCACTCAAGAGGCACTGAACTACAGGCCAGTGTCCCTGACTTACACACCAGGCAAGGTGAGGAGAAGAGCGTGACAAAAAACTGGTAGAACATCTGGAGAGAAGGAACCCTTGTAACACTTCACCAGCAAGGGTTCAGAGATGGTAAATCTTGCCTCACACGTTTAACAGAATTCTATTAAAATGACCGGATGACAAAAATCAGACAACAAGAAACAGGCGACAGACTCATATTTTTGGATTGCCAGATCAAGTTCAAGTTCAAGTATGTTTATTGAGACAAGAAAGAAATACATCTCAAAGGGATAGAGTAGCTTAGGCTATTTCTACCCCCTTTGGATTGCCAGAAAACCTGAGTTACAGTCCCCAATAAGAGACTAGCGAATAAGTTGGAGATGCATGGAGTGACAGGGAAGGTACTCCAGTGGATAAGGGAGTGCCTAAGCAACAGAAGAGAGAAAGTCACTGTTACAGATGAGACCGCAGAGTGGCGAGGTGTTACTAACGGCTGTTAGAGTTCGACTCGAGTAAATGTAAAGTGATGAAGCTAGGAGGAGCTGAAGACCAGTCACAAGATACCGAATAGGAGACGAAATCCTCCAAGAACCGGACAGAGAGAAGGATCTAAGAGTTAATATCACACCGAGTCTGTCTCCTGAAGCCCCCTATCAAAAGAATATCATC